TTTCTAGGTTCTTAGGGACAAGGATTGGTTGTACTTGGTTCTTGGGAATGTGGGTTCTGTCTTTTCTATCTGGAAGTGTTTTTTACTGCTCACTACACAATTTGGTTTCAAACTGTTGTATGGAAGATTACGGCCCTGTTTTTATTAGGTGGTCATGTCCTGATCTCTCAATATGGTAAAAGATGTTTTTCTGTGTTTATATTTTGTTGGGTTAATTAACACAAGTCCACATTTATTGAAAATTAATCTCCTTTTCTACCTGCCTTACGTTCTCCAGGTTTCATTAGGTATGTTGTATTACGGCTTGTGGATGTTATGCATTAAAAAAAAATCATTTCAACACTTGCTTTGGCAGCACATATACTAAATAAAATCTCCAAAGTATATACACTGAGATACTTATTATAAAGCTTACACTAAGTATCAAATGTGAGAAATATGAAATTGGAAAACAAAAACTCACCCTCAGGCCACCTTTGTAGCTGGTAACACAGCAATGAGGAAGGTTGGGTGTTGAGAAGGCAGAAGGGACGAGAGCCTCCCCAGTCTGAGCCAGGACCTTCTACAGGGCTGCTGGGTGTGAGTTTCACATAAGTGAAAGGAGTGCTGTTACTTGAACTTGGTAATAACATTTGATACCTGTGGATATTAATGTTTTCAGTCCTGTCTTTTCCCCAAGTCAGCTAGATGAATGTGCCTCCATGAAGCCGATGGCTATGCCCGAGCCAGTCCGTGTTTCCCAGCATTCCATGGGTAGGCCACGATATTTGAACTTGATTTTTTCGTGTGGCATTTCTGTAGTATTTGGCCTGTTTTCTTTGCTTGTGTTTGCCTGTTTTCAAGTTGGTATATCACAGCTGTTTGTACAACCAATTTTCCATCTTTAGCATTTTTTCTGCCCTATGGAATTGCTTTGTAGTAATTACCATTTCTGAGTTGCTAGCCCCATAGCAGATCTGTGTTCTAATATTTAATTTTTGGAGGTCATCTTTTGGGAATTTAGAGAGAAAGCTAATGCAGTTGTTCACTGTTCTGATGGATTTAAGTTAATGACAGTTTACATTCAGTATTATTTTGTGTTAGTTTCAGGTGTACAGCGTGGTGGTTAGACAGTTGTATATTTTACAAAGTGTTCTCCCTGATACTTCCAGGACCCATCTGGCTAAGTTACCGTTATTTTTTTAAGTGCTGGATTTATTCTAAGATGCTAATGGCCATTTTGTTTGATTGTGAACTTAGCTGGGTGTCCTCCTGAAAGATACTCTTCTGTTTAGTGCCCCTTTTCCCTTAACATGTTGCTTTACTTATGAATAAAGGCAGAGCCTGAGGAAAGGTCTTGAGTCTTAGATATTTAAAATGATTAGATTTTTAAATAACATTTTTTTAAAAACAAAAATGGTTTGAGTTAAAATATTCTATAAAAAGCTTTTAGTAGAATCCAAAATATACACAGACTCCTGCAGCAAATCTTGGGCACTGCATCCATAAAAGGAAAGCAAAGTGCTAGCGTGCTGGCCATGCCTTGTATGTCCTTGGTTAACTGTGTGTGATGCTCTTACCTGGGATGTGTGTGTAGTTATAAAAACTCAGGTCTTGCCCTGGACAGGTGGCTCGGTTGGATTGTCGTCTGGTACACCAAAAAAGGTTGGGGGGTCCATTCCCCAGTCGGGGTGTGGATGGGAGGCAACCTGTTGACGTTTCTC